ATCTCGTTGGTGTGCTCGATGGGGGCTCCGCATTCCGCTTGGTAGTGTCGAAGGTTGTGCAGCTCGCCGTCATCGACGTCGACCAGGGGGACGAGGTCACCGTTGGGGTCGCCGTCTGCTGCATGTAGCCCCGCCCGTGTCTGGGGGGTCCGGCAGAAGTTGCGCCACTCGAAGATGAGGTTGTCGCTGTGCGGGTGGATCGCCCTTGCTCCCCTTGTGACCAAAGTGTCCAAGAGGTACAGGGGCAGTGGTAGGGCCTCGCTCGGCTCCTCGAGGTCGCTTTTCTCGTTGGTGGTGCGCAGCAGGCAGTCGTTGCCCTGGTAGTGGCCGTGGTAGAGGGTCTTTGAATGGACCACCGTTCGTTCCGCATCTTGTAGGTCGGCCCGCTTGTAGACTTGCGCCGAGAGCATTTCGTGGATCTGCTCTAGGTTGCTTAGCTCATCTCCGTGGGGCCCCGTCCGCGGTGGCACGAGGTAGAAGAGGCCGTTCTCTGCCAGTTCCCTGGCCCGCTCCCGTGATAGGGCAGCGATCCAATGCCCTCCTCTCCGTGGTGTTCCGTAGGGTGCCGTTTTGTTCAGTGTTTGTCCAGATTGCGCTGCGGCAGCGAGGTATGTTTCTGGTCTTGCTGACCAGCGGCCCGCTGGGTCTTCGATGTCAGCTGTGGCGCGGTTTCTGGTGAAGGAGCCCCTGGTGGCGTCGTTGGCTCTCTCGGCGGTCTCTTTCTCCCATCTGTCGTTGGTTGCGCCCGGGTACGCGATGGTGTAGTGGTGGTGGTACACTGTCTTCATCCACCCCTTTGGCGCGTTGGTCGGCACGTGCACTGGTCCAACTTCCAGCGCAGCGTAAGTGTATTTCCTGGTTTGGGCGCAGGGCTGTGCACCATACTGGAACTTGTTTGGTGCACGCGCCACTGGTGTGGCGATGTGGGGGTCCAGTCGTTTGTCCTCAGAAGGTCTGAAAGAGCGCGTTCTATGGTCGCTTGGAGGGGGGGGGGGTTTGGAACTGGCCCCTCCTCCCCCCCTGGATGGAGGGGGGGAAGGGGTTTCGAATCTACCCCCCACCCCCCCCAGCTTCCCCTCTCCTCGGGCCGGCGCTTGCGTCGGCGGCGGCTGGCGACGGCGGCGGGGACGACGATTTCCATTTCTGGGCCGGCGCCGGCGCCTGCGGCGGCGGGCGGCGGTGGCGGGGAGCGTCGACGAGGACGACTGGTGGTGGTGGTGGTGGGTTGGTGGTGGTGGGCGGTGTGGTGGTTGTGGTAGTGGTGGTGTGGTGGTTTGTTGTGGTGGTTGTGGTTGTGGCGGTGGTGGGTGGTGTTGGTGGTGGTGGTGTTTTGGTGGTGGTGGTGGTGGTGGTTGTGGTGGTGGTGGTGGGTGGGTTTGTGGTGGTGGTGGTGGGTTGTGGTTGTGGTGGTGGGTGGTTTGTGGAAGTGGTGCTGGTGGTGGTGGTGGCGGTGGTGGTGGTGGTGGGTGTGGTGGTGGTGGTGGTTGTGGGTGGTGGTGTGTGTGGTGTTGTGGTGGTGGTGGTGGTGGTGTGGGTGGTGGTGGTGTGGTGGTGGTGGTGTTGTGGTGGTGGTGTGTGGTGTGGTGGTGGTGGTGGTGGTTGTGGCGGTGGTGGTGGTTTGGTGGTGGTTTGTGGTGGTGGTGGTAGTGGTGGTGGGTTGTGGTGGTGGCGGTGGTTTGTGGACGTTTGTTGTGGTGGTGGTTGTGGCAGTGGTGGTGGTGGTGGTGTGGTGGTTTGTGGTGGTGGCGGTGGGTTGTGCTGCTGGTAGTGGTGGTGGTTGTGGTGGTGGTTGTGGTGGTGGTTGTGGTGGTGGTGGTGGTGTTGGTGTGGTAGACTGGTGGTGGTGGTAATGGTGGTGGGTTTTTGTGGTGGTGGTGGTGGTGATGGTGAGTTGTGGTGGTGGTTGTGGTGGTGGTGGTGGCTGTGGTGGTCAACCTTTTGTGTGGTGCTGTTGGTGGTGGTGGTGGTTTGAGGCGGTGGTGGTGGTAGTGGTGGTGGTGGTGGTGATAAGGTGGTATTCGTCGCTGCGTCCCCGCCGTCGCTGGCGCCAGCGCCGGCACTGATGGCCGCCGCCAGCGCCGGCGCCGGCGCGAGGGGGTGGCGGTTTGAACCCCCCCCCCTGGCGCCAGGGAGGGGGGGGGTTTCAATCCCCCCCCCCTTTGGCTGCCTCTGGTCATCGTCGCTGCGTCCCCGCCGTGGGCGTTGCTGGCGGCCGCCAGCGCCGGCGCCGGCGCCAGCGCCGAGGGGGGGGGGGGTTTGAACCCCCCCCCCTTGGGAGGGGGGGGGTTTCAGGAGGGGGGGGGGCTTGGGGGGAGGGGAGTCCACCTGATTTTGATCGACGGCGCCGGGTGTTGGGGGGGGGCCCACCCCCGGGTTCGAAACGCGCCGCCGAATGTTCTCAAGGCAAGCGCCCGTGAAACGCGTTTTCTTGAAGGTCTACAGCCGAGAATCTCAGCTAATTCTCGGCTTCGGTGTCCATGCAGCACACTGGGTTGGTCTTGTTGCTGGAAATCAGGTGCCGCGCTTGCTGCGATGTCTGATGGGCCGTGTCGTTCGAATTGATGCACTCTCTCTGCATTGTCAGCGGCGTAGTCCTTCGTGCTCTCGGCCATCCTGATCTCCGCTTTCCTGGCGAAAGTGATCTTTGGGAGCAGGCTGAAGACCTTGTAGTGGGTAATGGCGTCACATGGGTTCGATGCTGTGTGTGATTGATTCACCCCACTGTAGGCCAACAGGCGGCTCCATGGCTTGGTCGAATTGCAATGGCGCAAGCGCAGGGAGACTGTAGGGTCGGTGGCCGAATCCTTTTAACCAGATGTGTTTGCAGTGCGTAAAGTATGGATGGTCACTCGTGATTGGAGGGTTGCTATATATATATATGTATGCACGTATGTATGGATGTATGCCTTTACGTACGTACGTACGTACGTAGGTATGACTCCATGTATGCATGTCTGTCTGCCTGTCTGTCTGTCTGTCTGTCTGTCTGTCTGTCTGTCTGTCTGTCTGTCTGTATGTATGTATGTATGTATGTATGTATATGTACACATATACGTGATGGTGTGTTGTGATGCAAAGTTGCATCCAGTCGGTGCCAGGGTCTGTGGGATAGGCAATCGTCCCTCAGGTCAGGCGTGCGAGGACCCCTGGTAGACGTAGCTTAAGTGGTGGTTGAGGTCCGCCCGTCAGGAGATGTACCCCGAGCGTAGTGGGCCGCACAGATGATGGTTCATCCCAGTTCAACAATTTCCGTGGCTTGCCGAGGTCGTAGTCGCCGATGCGCCACGCAGTCGATGCTTACCCAGAAGACGTAATACGGGACTATCGGGGTGTAGAAGTCATTGTAGTCGACCTCGGTCTCCCACTGTTCGGTGGTATCCCTGATGTCCCATCGTGCGCGCAGTGCTTCGTATACTTTTGCTGCAAATATCCTGTTCAGCTCTGTAGGGTAGGTCAATGCCGCTGCGCTTCGCCATGTTCCGTCTTCGTTTCGCCCTAAAAGGTATGGGTGAGCGCCGCCTCCGTGGTTGCATGGTTGGCTAGTGTGCGTGGTGGCAGTCCCGGGAGGCCAATCACAAGTAAGCTTATAGTCTTGCGTGGTATTTGCTCCATAATGCATGGGTCGACCGAGAGGATTCGGACGGTGGGTCGCAGAAGCAGGTGCTGCATTTTGGCAACAGCCAGCTGCTGGCTACTTGCCTGCTGTCATGGATCGTCTCGGGGTGCTCCATCAGCGCTGGGACGCCTGTGGGGCGGCGACGTCTGGTCTCAGTAGTGTTGTGCGCAGTAGCTCTGATCGTTCTCGTGGTCCGTCAAGTAGTTGAGGCCCTGTGTTTGCTTCCTGCTGCGATGGGGTCCATGTTGATGCTGTACGTCTGGTAGCTCCCGTGTTCTTGCTGCGCTCAAGGTTTCGCAGGGTGGTCTTGCCGCAATAGCTGCTACCTTTCCGTCGTGCATCTGGTTGACCCAGAAGGCGATCGTGTCGTAATCCTCCTCCTCCTCCTCCTCCCAGACTGTCAATGTCTTGAAACCTGGAGACTCGGATTTTCTATATGTGCGATATATCTCGGAACCGCTGTCAGTCTTGGTTGACTTAGCTCTAGTCGAGTCAGCAACTCCGGGTGATAATTCTTACGTTGCTCAGCGTCCTTGCTATGATTCTCGTCGGTGCCGTCACCTCGCTGGAGGAGGACAACTGTGTGTGTATGTGTGTTTTTGTGTTCTTCTACTTCCTCGACTGGGTGCTGGCGGGTTGGCGCCAAGGCCCCCCCCCAAACTGAACCCGACCCGACGCAACATCGCGCTGCAGGTCTTTGGCCATTTTCGTCGTCTGGTCACGCTTTCTTCCGAGACGCCCAGTGGCGTGATTTTGTCTGTCCTGGTTTTTTCCGCATCAACTCTGGCGGATTCCAGGACCGTCAGAGAGCGACCCCAGATGAAAAACCAGACCCGGGGAAGAAGTCGAGAGTTCCAGGGGTGGGCAATTCTCGGAGGTCTGCTGTCCGCTCACCGGAGGAGCCCGACCCCTGCGATGAGCGGCTCTCCCCAGACCTGGGCTTCCTCGAGGAGTACATCCAGGTGAGCGATGTAAGCAATGGTTCACGGTGCGCGGACATTCGCGCGTGAGCTGCCCGCGCCAGGTCGTGCGTAACCGCCCTCGTTTCCACGTGGTGTGCCTCGCCGGCGCCCTGCGAAAGCCAACGCGTGAGGCCGCCATGCCCTCTTTCGTGAGACCCATTGCGTTGCGTCTTTCAGGTGGGCTTCTTCACGGACTTCCGCAGGCTGTCGTGGCGATACTACCAGCACAACGAGACGTCCTACGCGTTTCTGTGGTTCAATTCGATCTCGTATAGCAACATTCGGAGGCTCAGAAGCTGGCACCATTATCAATCTGGAGTTTCGCCTCCACTGGGGGAAGACGATCCTCTATTTCGGTTCTGGCCGTTCTACCCGGGCCACTCAAGGGGCCCCAGTTTCATTGCCACCATCTTCGAGGCCGGCGATGATCTTCCCTTTTGGTGGAGGCGGCCGCCCGCATTGGTATCCGTGCCGATTTCAGGACCTCTGGAGCGTGGACTTTGTCCGCGAGGCTTGTCCGGAAGCAGCGTACATGGCCCTGCTCATTCGAGCTGAGGAGTTTGGTCTCTCCCCTGCCACTGCTGTCGTGCCCATTCTTCGGTGCCGCCACCCTCCTCTTTCATCCGTCGTGCTTTTTGCTCCGCTGCCGCTTCCTTTTCCCTGGGTGATCTCTCTTGCCTCTGGCACGGCTTGTCTCGCCCGTGAGTCCCTGCAGAGGTGCTGGGCGAGGCGGTTGCAGCGATACCTGAGTGCTTGTTGGTTTTTGCCAGCTCCAGAACTCTTGGGTGCACTGGCATTGACTTTCTCCTCGAGGGGAAGTTTCGTTATCGCCAGATTTTCGCTGAGGGCGGGAGGTCAACAACTCGATCCATCGAGGGTGAGCGAGGCCCTTTCTGGAACGCCCTCCGTCGTTGGAGGCGGCGACGACGACGACGACGTCCAGCTTGGAGCTGCGAGCGGCGCGCAAGAGCGAGGGCGACAGGCCCAGTCTGGGGCGCCCCGTGCCTCGATGCGCGCCCCAGCCCTGGAGCGGCGCCCGAGACTGCGCTCCGACTGGCACTCGGCTGGGCGGTCGGGCGTCGCAGCGCGAGCACCTGAGCCGCGAGGCGACGGCCGTGCCCTGGGCCTCCGCTCGGTGCCGGCACCAGCGCTCCACAGCCGCCCAGCGTCAGCGGGGGCCGGCATGCCCGCGGGCAGGTGCCTCGGCGTGGCCTGAGGAGGAGGAGTGGGAGGGGGAGGAGGAGGGGGAGGAGGAGGAGGAGGAGGAGGAGGAGGAGGAGGAGGGGGAGGAGGAGGAGGAGGAGGAGGGGGAGGGGGAGGAGGAGGAGGAGGAGGAGGAGGAGGAGGAGGAGGAGGAGGAGGAGGAGGAGGAGGGGGAGGAGGAGGAGGAGCGCTTTCTCCAGCGCTGCCGAGGAGCGGCTGCCCGCGCGCGGCGCGGACCGCCCTCTGCTCGAGTTCGCGGCCCTCGGCGGGGACTTCGCGGGCGCGGCCAGCCGCCTGCGCTCGGCCGCCTGGCCGCTGGCGCAGGGCGTGGGCCGGCTGCAAAGGACCGCCACGAGGAAAACCCAGACTCGATCCGCAGAAGGGCGCGATACACCACCGTGCCTGGCCAGGGCCATCCTGGCCCCGAGCTCTTCATCCCGAGTCGTTTCAGGGCGGTCCCGGGGCGCAGGGGGGCCCCTCGAAGACCGAAAACAACGAAAAGCCTAAGGACGCGGTTCTTGCGCCAAGGACCCGAAAAAGTCACCCCCCAGACATCTTATGGGGTGCGCTTTGACAAGAATTCCCCAAGGAATCTAGCCGAAGCAACCAGAGATGTCCTGGAGACCCCCCCCCAAAAAACTCCCCAAATCGTCGATCTTCGAATCGCGACCACGCAGAAGGCACTCATACTCTATACGCATCCACCATGCCTGGCCAGGGCCATCGTGGTCCCAGAAATGGTGTGCACGCCCACCCGACCGAGGTCAGGAAGGTCTGTACACCATCTTGGTCTTGGTGACACTTCCAGGGTCTCGGACCACGTTTCTATCGGGAAACTGTTTCATGCATGTCAGAAGGATGGCGGAAACGCTGGAGGTGCCCGCGGCTTAGAAGACTTGGTCAACACGGGGGAGGAAAGCGCATTTCAGGTGCGAGATCGCTGGCTTGTCTTGTCTTGGGAGTCGATAGCGTTCATGTTCCTGCCTGAGTCATGTCATCACCCGCCCGCCTGCCGCTGCGGGTGCTTGGTTCAAGGCTCAAGTCTTGTACGCTTCAAAGGAGGTGGTAGGCGAACCTGGCGGAAAAGAGCGCGCCCGCGTGCGCGCACACATCGCCGCCATGCCGTCGATCAGCACGAAGGGACATATCATGCACAAGGTCTCCTGCGTTGAGCAAGATGACGGCTTCCACCGCAGCTGCAAGTCGGCTGGCAGTGGAGGTGCAATGCCGGGCGAGAGTTTTAGCGACCTCGCAGCAGCAAAAATATCCGAGAGGCGAATATCGGCAAATTTCGTCAGAGTTCTACTTCCGAGAAAGGTATCAGTTATCCACATTTGAGTCTTGATATTTAGAGAAGGTCCCCGCGATCGCGTGATCACGGGTCACGGGGATCGTCAATTCTTGACGCTTCGCGTATCCCCACCAGCCCATCCTACACCAGGCACTCGAACGAAGAGCGCCGATGATCGGCAGCTGTTCTCCTCCCTCCCCCTCTTCCTCCTTCTCCTCCGCCTTCTCCTCCTCCTCCCTTCCTCCTCCTCCTCCTCCTCCTCCTCCTCCTCCGCCTCTTCCTCTTCCCTGGTGGCGTCTTGGAGATATCTTCGAACGTTTTGGTGGGCTCTTGGGCCTCGCGGGCGGGCGGGCGGCGCTCCGCCCGCCCGCGCGCAGGGCGCAAGAGGAGAGTCCGAGACGTCTCTTGAGGCCCTCTTGGAGGACATCGATCGCAGAAGGGGGGAACATTTTTTAGCGTCGCCCCCCTGGGGGGCACGATCCTCGTGAAGGGTGTCGAATTTTAACCCTCCCAGGAGTCGTTCTTGGACGCTCTAACTACCCGCGGCCCCCCCTGTCCAGGTCAGTGGGGAGGGGGTAGGGGGAGGGGTAAACCCCTCCCCGAAGGGGAAGAAGGAGGGGTGGAAGAGGAAACGCTCTAAACCACCGACGCCCAGAGGGCTGGTGGGATTTCCAAAGCGATGTCAGGAGAACCGAGCAATATTAGGACGAATATCGAGACGTTCCCTGAGCAAATCGATGCCCATGCGATCGTGCGTCCAGATGATGCGCAGACGAACCCAAGGGCATAGGCCATCGCGCATGGGACTGGCCTTCCCGAGGAATGCCAGGATGAGGTTGGCTACCCTCATCCATGCGCCGAGGAAAGCTCAATACGAAGAAGTTTGGTCATGCTTCTGCTAAGATCCCGTCGTGTGCGGAAGGGTCCGTGGGAACAGATGGACGTCATCAGCAGACTACTTCCGAAATCTCCCCGAGTGTGTGTTCCCGATTTTTTTGACTTTGGTCGCCCCTCCATCTTTGACGGTGCCAGAGACGGCGGTTCGATGGGGGGCTTTCAGCATTCCAGGGGAACAGTGGAAGGTAACGAGACAGGAATTCGCAAGCACGGCGAAGGGACACATGCCGGTGCCGTCACAGTCGCCGGAGGTTGAGGACGATCAGCCGACCATCCCGCGCGCCCGTAGGGGGAGATCCGCTCAGCCAGAGCACGACGGAGAGCCCGAGAAAGATGCTCCGACTACCCCAGTCAGGAAAGCTGCGGCAGAAGAGGCATTTGTTGAGCACGTCGCGCAAGTGCTCGAAAGAGGCCTTATCGTCTTGAGCCAGGCGTGATCGGCATGATGTGAAGCGTATCAGGCCACAGCCCTTTCAGTCCGCTAGGTCGAGCATCTCGAATGCCGGCATGCTCTCCGTGCAGAACGCCTGCCGGCAGCCCGCGCCCCGATGTGGGGATGCTGCAGAAGCTGGCCAGGAAGTTGCGCTGAGATCGTGTGCTTTGGGTGCTCGCGCGCGTGTTCAGGATGCAGCGTTTTGTTTGTTTGTTTGTTGGTTGGTTTGTTTTGTTTCTCTCGTTGTTTTGGATGATGACAACAAGGGGATGTGTTCCACCAGTCAATCGCACTTTCGCGGCGCTACGAAGCCTGGAGTGGCAGGTGACCCTGCGTCTGGAGGCCTTGCAGCTCGAAGAGAACTATGAGGTTTGAGTGGCCCTGCGGGAAGCATCTCGCGCCAAGGCAGCGGAAGGGCGCTCGACGAAGAGTTGGGCGAGAGGTTGCCGAGGGCAGGCTGCCTGGCATCCGAGCCTGGATGTCGCGCAGGAAGAAGACCAAATTTGGGGAGATGCCCCGGAGAAGAGCGCGCAGCCTGGGGCCGATGCCGATGGCGCGCCAATGCGGGGCGCGTAGGTCGAGCGGCTGAATGCTTCGAATCCGCGGGTGGAACAGATGAATCTTCTCAAGAAGAATGCAACATGCCAGAAGGTCGATCCCGAGATTCGCAAACTGCTCCCCGATTTTTGTTGGCAGGCTGCGCCTAGCGCCGACGTGGGCAGACCAAGGGGTGCGGATTTGTATGGGCGGGCGTTCGAGTCTGCTGCGTCTTTGCGTTGGGTCGTCATGAACTTGGCGGGGGTGCGGGGGCCCACCCTCGTGTCTGAACGTGCAAAGGTGTGCCAAATCGCATGGCGCGGCTCTAGTAGATGCAGGGCCGACCCGGAGCCGCCCCGAATATCCATATTCAGGCCCCTGGGGACCAGGGCGTATATAGACCAGGACACGGAAAACTATGGAAACATCTTTTCCTGCAAAGTCACGTTTTTCAGAACCCGTGCATGTTTTGTTTGCTGCGCTGCAGGATTCGGGTTTGTGTCCGGGTTCGGGGGTGTCCTGCGGGCTTTTTGGGCCCGTGTCCGGGTGTATTCTTGAAGTGTTGCAGTGCAGTATTTTGTTTGTGCCGCCATTTGGAACAATTAGTTTCGAGGCATGTTGGGTGTCCGGGTCTAGCGTGTCCGGGCCCGCGGGGCCCTGACATATGCGCGCGCACTTTCCGCTGACAGGGGCTGGGGGACTCTTGGGCGCCATCGAAGGGAGAAGAGGGCGCAGCGAGGCTTCTGCGCGGCGCGAGCACGGGATATAGGATGGCGTTCTTGGAAGCGCGGGGCTTTCTTGAGTCGGCCGGGGCGGGGGGCCTGGTGACCCCGCCAGGGTCAAATAAGGCTGAGTGGCGTCGATGCGCGCGAATGGGTGGACCCGGGGGCTGCGAAGCACGCGGTTTACTGCGAGCGTGTCGACTTGTTCAAGGGTGATTGGTTTATTGCGCAGCAAGCTTTTTCACACGGGGAACGTGGCTTTCAGCGGGTTCCAGAATAATTATGTGTTACTGTGAAGTAGTCGCACGGCGACACTGGGGTCGCGATGTTACTCGGGTTGCGGATCGGAGCCCGCGCGGGGCCCCAGGTCAGGGGTGACCCAGTGAATTCGATTAAGACTTACTTCCTGGACACCCGGGCGGCAGAGGGTTTAGCTGAAGTGCGTATAGACTAGGGGGTCGAGATGGGTGAGGTTCGGGGCATGTCGTGGGATGGTTGTAGGGCGGTGAATAGGGGATTGGTGTAGATCCAGCTTGTAAGACTGTGCCCAATGGGTATGCGACTTTCATGGAGTCGTCAACGCGGGCGGGTTATCCGCCCCTTCCGCCGGAAGGTAGGGGTGGGGGGGGTCAGGGGGCGCGAGCGCCAAGGTCTTCATGTCGCTGTGCCGTCGCCCGCCCCTGGGCGCGGCCTCCGCTGCCAGTTGCGCGAGGCCCCGTTGGGGCCTCGGCGGGGGGGGGTCAGTCCGTCTGCCCGCGCCGCTGTGGCTGGCGCGACGAGTTAGTTTCCGAGGACATGACAGTTTCCGAAGATTGCCCAGTGAACACATCGCGTTGTGCCTTTACCGAGAGCAGGCCGCGCCGGGCAGAGCGGCGCGCTCCTGAATCCTCGCTGGCCCTGTGCCGCCCGAGGTTCAATATCTGGAGGGGGGCTTGTTGTTTTTTTCCATTGATGGAGACTGCTGGGCCTCGTTGCCATAGGGTATGCGCGTGGCCCAAAGGCATCGAGTCCAGACAGAAAGGAACCAAGCGATGCGTTTCGCTGAGGTTCTGTTCGACTCCCGTGGGTTCGTCTGCGGCTCTGAACCAGAAAAACAACGTCTTCGTCTGCTCCGGGAGGGGCCCCGCTTCGAGGAATAATGATGAAGTGGGCGCGTCTGTGGGGGGCGAGGAGATCCGTGGGATTGCGCCTCTTGCGTCGGCGTTCCTCCGCCGTGGCAAGATCGGGGGCGCGCGTGGGGTGGGTGGGGTGGGTGTGCGTGGGGTGGGGTGGGGTGGGGGGTGGGGGGGGCGGGCTCTCTGCAGTCTTGTGTCGGATTGAGCGAGGCGGGGTCGGCAGTCTCGGGGCGACGATCGCGCGCGGCCTGTCGGAGCAGTTCGACCCCGGGGGAGTTGGAGATATGGCGAGATCTTCCATCGCAGCGAGCTGGGATGACGACGGCCGGAAGGCGTGCCTGACAGCGCGAAGCGATGTTCCTTGATTGGTCCGACCCAGATGCAGGCGTTACCGTCGCCTGTGTTGAGGAAAGACGCCCCCCCCCCCCCCTAGCGAGGAGGAATGGGAACGTCGCGCGGCCTTGCGTTGGCGTTGATAACCAAGGCCAAGCATTCAGACGCGTGTAGATCCGTGGACGGCAGCTTCCCCGCATCGGCCGCAGGGTTTTCCCATCGTCGCGGCAGAAAGCACGCCAGTTATCACGCGGCGGAGAAGGACGCTAGAGCGATCTCCGCCAGGGGGGTGTCCATCGGCGACGCTCAATCTCCCCCAGATAATGATGCGGGCGAGCGCTGGCTCGAGGTTCCCTCGAAGGGCCGCCTCGTCGCGGGGAAGTTCGACTACGAACTTGCCAGGGCCCTAAACTGAGGGGGCAGAGATGCTAGTGGTCTTCGATTCGGATGCGCGTGCTAAGTGAGACTCGTTCCTGGGGCCTGGTGGGCAGATTTCCACCGAGAAGTCCCCGCGCTTCCGCGTGCTGTCTGCCGTTTATGTGGTGCTGTTTGATGGCGGCAAGGCTTCGCTTGGTCCCCGCGGCGAGTCTGTTCGTGCCGCGATGCTTGTAGACCGGCGGGCAGTGGGCGTATTTGAGAGTAAGTCTTCGGAGGAGCGGCAGAGGCAGATAAGAGAGGTTCCGTGGAGAGATGAAAGGTGCGTGGTGTCTTTCTGTTGCAGACAGCTGCGACGCGGGGTTCTTGCGTGTCCGTCATGCGAAAAGACCGTCGCGCATCCCGTCGCCCGTTGCAGCCATCATGCGCGCGTGCTGCATGATCCAGAGTTGCTACCGGTCAGCGCCGTTCCGCCCTCTGGAACTGAGCAGGCGGCCCGCGCGGCTGACCCGGGCGCGGCGATGACTAGCGCGGCCAGTTTCGAAGGCCCCGCTCAGAAAAAGCAGCGGGGAGAGCGCCATTGTCTCGCGAATGCGAAGGACAGACTTTCGCGCAATGTGGGCTGCGTCGTTCGGATCCTGCTGCTCGCGTTCGCTGCGAGGAATGGGGGGGGGGTGATCCTGCATCTGGCCCCCGCATGGCGTGGGCCCCAGCGTCCAAACAGAGTCAACCTATTGTTAGCCCTGGGTATCAGTGCTTCGCTGGGGCTATTTTGCCCAGCGCTGAAGACGGGGGAGACGCGAATTCGTGGCACCCGGAGCAGTGCTTCTTGGGCGACGCGAATCAATATTACCCTGACTCTGGCCTTTGGATGTCTTCGACTGGGATTTCGCTGATCCCGAGAGGGCGGAGGATATCGATCCGGTGGATGAAGATTCGCGATGCATGTCCGCTGGAATGGACGCTGATTTGACTGTCGACATGATTCTCAAGGCGGCCAGTGAATCGAAGCTACATTCGCGCCAGTATCAAGAGCGCCTTCCGAAGCGAAGAAAAGCAGCCGCCGCTTTTGGTGATGGGCAAGATAAAGCGAGCAACAATGATGAGGTAGAGTACGGAGGCTGTGCCCAATCGTGCTGGACTGGAAAGTACGACGTGTAGTGTCGGCTGCGGATGAGTTGTGTTCACTCCAGACAAACGGCAAGTGGCCCGTCTGGGACTTTCCGTGTTTGGGAGAGAAAGGGAACTTCTTCGAAGCGTGGAGTTAGTCACCGAAGCGCTGGCTGCGGCAGAGAATTCCGAACGGGCGGAGCAAAGTGCCTGCCATTTTCTGGTCGACAACGCGGCGCGGTGGCATTTGTCCGGCGCAGACACAGATCCTGGGACGGTCAGGCAGATGATCGTGGAAGAGTCGGACCGCCTCCGGGCGGAAAGAACGAATGGCGAGCCGTGGGTACTGCTGACCAGGGATAGCTTGCGCGAGGGTTCGTCGACGCGACTGTGGGACTCCCGCGAAGGTGCCGATCTTGCCACCACGTGCAATGATGGGCCAATGGATCCGGTGTTCTGCGACCATGCCGCGGTCAAAGTGCAGGAGCTGCATGATGAGCGGTGAGCCAGCGACTGTGCTATTGAAATGGTTTCGCTGACAGAGTATCGGTCGTCGCCCCTGATGAAAGGAATCGGAGGTTCAGTTCATGTCATCCTCGGCGGGCCCGGTCCCTCGGCGGGGCTGGCTCGTCCAAAAATCGAGAAGACGGGGCGGGTCATGACTGTGCGTGGCGCAGGGTGCGCTGCGGTGGCCTTGTTGATGGCGGAAGTCACTTTGGAACTAAATGCCAGTCCCCCGCCGAGCCTGCTGCGGCCCTGCCCGCGGCCGGCATGCCCTCTCTGCTTCTACCCCCTCCCAGGGGGGCGGGCGCCGAAAGAGATCGCGTGCGCAGGGGGGAAATTTAATTATCCCAGTGCGACCCTACCTCGAAGTTGGAGCCCCTAGGAAAGCAGCATTCGTAACAACAGTGAAGCTAAGCTAAAGCTAAAGCTAAAGCTGAGCTAAAGCTAAACTAAAGCTAAGCTAAAGCTAAGCTGCAGCTGAGCTAAAGCTAAACTAAAGCTAAGCTAAAGCTAAGCTGCAGCTGAACTGGAAGTAAGCTGAAGCCAAACTGAAGCTAAGCTAGAGCTAAGCTCGAGCTGAGCTAAAGCTAAGCTAAAGCTAAGCTACAGCTGCGCTAAAGCCTAGCTGAAGCTAAACTAAAGCGAAGCTAAAGCTGAGTTAAAGCTAAGCTAAAGCTAAGCTAGAGCTAAGCTAAAGCTAAAAGCTAAGCTACAGCTAAGCTAAAGCTAAGCTAAAGCTAAGCTGAAGCTAAGGTAAAGCTAAGCTAAAGTTAAGCTAGCGCTAAACTAAAGCTAAACTGAAGCTAGGCTAAAGCTAGGCTAAAGCTAAGCTAAAGCAGGGCTAAAGCTAAGCTAACGCTAAGCTAAAGCTAAGCTAAAGCTAAAGCTCCCAGGGGACTGGGGGAACCGCGGGGCGGATGCCAGGGGAACCGCCCGGGGCGAGCCCCACTGCCCGGCCACTTTAAGCCGACAGAGTAAGAACCCTTCCAGGCAGAGCCCAGGTCGGAAATTTCATTGCTTGTAATATGGCCGCCTGGCCCAAAGGGCATGGGCGCGATGGCTGTGTGGGTGGGGGCAAAGGGGGATGTGGCTCCTGCGAGTCCCACATGCAAGAACCTCTTGAATATGCAGATAATTCGCGCAGTGGAGTCAATGAAGCTGGCAGTGCCGGTGGTGGCGACTGGACTTCAAGTGGGTATATCAGGCAGCGTGGCGCTGGCAGCGCTAGCGCTGGTAACTGGAGCTCAGGGAGCGGTCTGCGCGAATATGAACGGGGCGGCGAGTCAGGAGAGTGTAAGTGCGAGCTTTGCAAGTCATCGTGGGACTACGACTCAGAGAAGAAATTTGACAGGGGAGACAAGAGCGGCGGCGGCTGAAGTGAGAAGTGTTCGGGTGCGTCGCGAGCCGCGTTGACGCCTGTGCGACGGCGATCGGCGCCGGGGTGCCCCGCGGGCCTGTCTAGCAACGAGAGGGAATCCGTCGAGCAACCGGATCTGCGCCTCCTTGGCGGAGTCGGCACTGCGCGGGGGGTGAGCGATGTTACGTCGTTTTTTTGGGGTAGGTGCTCCCGGGCGCGGCGTGCTGAAGGCTGGCATGCAAGGGCACTGTTGCTCCGTTCGCTCCTGTCTGCGTTATGTTATCGCCCGTCCGCCTGCCGCTGCGGGCGTTTGGTTCCAGGCTCAAGTCCTTTGCACTTCAATGGGGGTGGTGGGCGACCCTGAGTTTGGAGTGATCGCTGCGCCTTCGTAGTCGGAAGAGAGCGCGCCAGTGTGCGCGCGAACATCGCTGCCATGTCGTCGGTCAACACGAAGGGACATATCATGCGCGGGGTCCTTTCCAAGAGGGTCCTTGAACTACAGTCAATCATATGATTAAGAAAAAATCAATCAAGAAAGCTGGACCATTTTTTAAAAGAATTAAGAAATATACCCCCCTCCAGAAGTTTCTTAAGGAAGCGCTGGGCCAGCTTTTGGAGCCAGGAACATACACGCTTCATTTCTAGGACCCGAGGCTACCAATTCCCTTAAGAAACTGAGCCAGCTTTCCGGGGGGAGGTTTCTTAATCCAATGCTCGACTGTAGGAGAAGACGCAACATAAACATCACATTGGTCGGGCTGTTGCGCAAGTCGTGTAAACAATGATCAACAACGTTGGCGATGTCTTGGGTTATTTTGTTGTGTTGGGCCCCATATGGGGCATCTTGGGGCCCCTTCGTGCCTCGTGACTCCCTTTTTGTTGGGGGGGGAGGCAAGAGGGAGGTGCGGTGCGTTTTCGGGGCTGTTTGGGGAAGTCTTGGAGGCCGTTTCGCGGCGGAGCCCAAAATTATTTTGGGTATCGAGCAGCGAAGTGCTCCGCGCATCTGGGTTGGACCAGACCCGCCCGATCAAAGTCAGCTCCGCTGGTCGGCCAGACCTGGATCAGGGTTGGACAGGACCAGATCAGGATCGCATTTGAAAGATCAGAGAGTTGGACCGGGCCCGCTCGATCGCTCGACTGCTGGAGGTGTTTGAGGCGAACAAGCGCGGTTTTTGCCGCCCGCCCTAGGGGCCCGTGGGCACAGGAGCAACCAGGGGCAAGGACCTTCTAGAGGCCAAAGGGGCAGCCGAACTGGCCACGGATCACCAGGCTCCGATTGCTTGCGGGGTGGGCCTTTCTTCCTTCCTGAGCACGTCAGCTTCCGTTTTGGCCCCGCCCGCGATGTGCTCCGAGTCTCCGTCGGGCCAGCGCACCCGAATCGGTCTTCCGCTCGCACAGGTGCCTCCTCCCCTCCCTACCCTACCCTTTGGACGGTTTGTCCGGTTGCTCCTGGGCCACGGGCGAGGCACACCTCGGGCGGCCGAGAGCTTTTGCGCTCTGGGCCAGGCCTAGCCCGCTCGGCCAGGGCCACTATTGGACCGTGGACTGTCGGGGGTTGGGGGGATGGTACGAGGCCAGAGGAGTACTCGACAGAGTTTGTGATGCCATACTGCGACGAGCCCCTGGACGAGGAACACTGGTTCCACCCGCAGCTGCCACTCCGGCACGTGGGCCTGGTGCTCTACCGCCTACTCGTCTGTTGCCCTGGCGGGCGTGCTGGGGGCACTGTGCTCCATGGGGACGCCGCGCTGGCCTCCCTGCCCCCTCGGGCGCAACGGGCCGCGGCGCGGTTCCGCTCTGTGGAGGTTGTGGCCGTCGATGCCAGCCCCCAGGCGTGGGAGGTGGCGCGTTACTTCCTACATCTCGCGGGCCGGTGCCCTGGGATCTCCGAGCAGCGTGAAGTGCAAATGTACCGACCATAAAAGGCCCCCCCCTTTGTTCGCCAAGCCCAGTGTTTCAGCTGCGGCTTCTGGCGAAGAAGGCCCACTTCGGAAACCCCGTTGGCACGCGAGAGGGATGCACGTGCAAGGTCGGACCAGAATTTGTATAAGAAATCATCATCGAGCTGGCCCAGGTGGCTTAGGCGAGGCACTATCCCACGCTCATCTCGGCCTGTGATTTTCCTGACAGGAGGTGGCCTTCGGCCCCTAGGGCGGCCAGAGATTTCTGCCTCTCGAGGCCGCCCCGAGGTACGATCGGCTGGCGGACTTCACCTTCTTCCTGCACCCAGACGTGTTCGAGCACGTCAACGTACGGATGCTGAAGAGTCTGCTGGGGTCGCTGCGCGCCGGGACGCTGGGGCGGAGCGGCCTCGGAGCCGACAGCGGCAGCGGCTGGTTCCAGTACCTGTCGCTCTCGCACCACTACGTCACGAGGCCTGCCCGCATGGCGAACCCCGCCCAGGCTCCACGGGAGGCAGCTATACACCACCACCGTGCCCGGCTATGGCCATCCTGAGCTTCGAGATGGCGCATGGACGCTCCGGGCCTCGGCCAGGAGGGCGCGTGCACACCGTATGCCGACGCCCAGGAAATGGCTCTGGCCAGGCACGGTGGTGGTGCCTAGGTGCTTCGTGCCCCAGGAGTGCGGTGGACTCCCAGGCTTCCACGACCTCCAGCGCAGGCTTCGGCCACGCGCAGACGGGGGTAGGGGGAGGGGGGAAGGCTTCTTGGAGGCACCACTGCTTCTTAGAAGGCGCGGGCCTTGTCTGCAGATGTAAAGCCGGCGCCTTTTGAGAAGCAGCCTCATTCTAAGAAACCTTCCCCTCTCCCCCTACCCCCCCCTCTGCGCGCCGCCAAAGGCTGCTGGGGGACGCCCCGGAGCCCGGCGCAGAGCCAGGCGACTTCGGGTTCTACTGCTGCTCGCAGTTCATGGTGCACCGTGACCGTGTGCTGCTGCGGCCCCGCGAGTGGTACCAGCGCGCCTCGGAGGCCGTGCTCTGGGAGCACTGCACGACCAGCTACATGGAGCTGCTCTGGCACGGCATCTTCAACGCTGGCGTTCTGCACGACAGGAAGCGGCAGGACCCTATCGCCCTATGTTCGC